GTAAGATATTAGGATTTTCATAATAAATGAAATTTTATAAAAAAGAAAATTTTAATATAAATTTTTGATTTTGTTATTTTCTCCCTCATAAATTTGATAGAATGCCAAGTCTATAAAAGAATATTTTAATGAATATTTTTTAACAATTGGCTTTGTTTTATTATTAGAATTTTGAAGTAATTGTTTTGTAATGCAAGTATGTTATCTTTATCATAATAATGCAAGATTATTATGATAAAGATAATGGATTTTAATATTATAAAGTAATTTTAGTACATGTGATCAAGTATTAAACGTTCTTGTAAATAGCTTGACTTTTAAAAAATAATATTCTTAAATAAACTTATATGTTTTCTACTTGTCAATATAAATACATTTTAAAGTAAATGTTTGATAAGTTAAAATATGTAAAAATGATGTAAAATATAAAATTTTTAAAAAAATGATATAAAATATAAGCTTTTGTTCTACATTCTTTCATTACCCTCATTAATAATGAAATTGGCAGCAATGATGTCATTATAATTTGTTAACCAATACTAGCTGATGATCGTGATTTGATCTCTCTAAAACTAATTTCAGATTCTTCTTCATCATAAGAATCCCCCAATCATCATACCTCTTAAAACTACCTTGAGGCTGACTGGGACTCTTTCCCTGATTTTCTCTGTGATGGCCCTGGGGTAGGAATCTTTTATCTTCCTTTTGACAAATGTGCTTCTTTTGTAACTTATATGATTCAGGCTGGCATGAGACTTCTGGAGAATCTTCAACAGTGTCTTTAATATGGATAAATCTGTTATTCTTTCTCTCTTGCATGATTCAGATTTTGTTACCTCATCAAAAGACAAAGCTTAATTGTTTGCTAAAAAATTTTCATCAATCTCAAAGTTTCAAAACTATTTAAAGAGTGATTATCAGTGTCTTGTTTTCCAGTTTACTGAAAAGCTGCTTCTATCAAAATTATTGTTTTCAAAAACTCTGGAGAGCGATCTTACTTGTCTAACTCCCATTAGTCTGCTTCCTAACATAAGCAAGATTTTTGGGAATTAACAAACACTTAATCTCTCATATTGAGTCTAATAACTTACTTTCTGGTCATCAATATGGATTAGATAAGACTATTGAATCTTTCCATTCCTAACTATATTCTAGGAAATTAAATTAAATAAGAAATAAATCAACAATGAGCAAAGCAACCAAAAGTCTAATAGACTATTTTGATATAGATGAAAATAAACGTTTAAAGCAATTTGTAAATTTTGCAAAATAAAAATAAGAGAAACATCTGGGAAAATTTTTTTACATTACATTTACATTTCTTGATTTTTAACTTTCCTCTTTGGTTTTTGCTTTTTTTTTTGGATCCAAGAAAAAGCATATCTGTATTTATTATTTTTCAATATATATCACCATAAACAAAAAATGCGTTATTACCGCCAAATAGTTAAAGTCTATTCTTTACAACTATTTATGGACTTTTCATTTGTTGAACTTTTTTTTTTTTTTTTTTGTTATCTATTGACTATTCTTTTATGTGCTTTTGCTCAATTAGAAATCACTTTTCTTTTTTAAAAAAAAAGGGGGGTAAAGAGGGCTTCGCTCTACGACTTTTTTTTTTATTCTTAATCTTTTCAATACTGCACTTATTTTGATTTTTTTTTCTGAGTTGAGTTTTCTTATTATTTCTACGCTAATATTGTTGTTATTGGTGACCTTAATGACCATTGCACTGAATGGATAAATCTAGTATCACTAGCCCTGTTTGCTCTAATGCTAAATTTTTACCATTATCAAAATTTTTTATTGTTAGCAAAACATTAAAAATTGTTCTTTTTTTATAATCTCCTGGATTCAGGTAGACATGAAAGTTTTTATTATTTCTTGTTAGTTATTTTTTTCTGAGATCAGAGAAAAGCTTATTTTTCAAATCATAAACTGTTATTATGTACAATATTCATATATTTATATATTCTTAAGATTAATGTTAATTTTGGCTAATGTATTAATGTAGATTGATATATAATCATAATACTTTTATATTATACTTGGTTAATCAAACTTTTTTTGTTAAAATACTTTCGAATGTGTTTTGAAATCCTTTTAATACTGCAGTTATAAAGAAAGATCAAACTATAACTAAATTATTGGCAGATGCTAAACAAAAGCTACATCAACATAGAAGCATCATCAATATAGAAGCATCATCAACGTAGAAACGTCATCAACATAAAAGCATCATCAACATTTCTATGTTGATGATGCTTCTATGTTGATGACGCTTTATGCAGAAGCATTATCAACATAAAAGCATCATCAACAGAGAAGCGCATCAACATAGAAGCGTCTTCAACATATAAACATCATCAACATAGAAGCATCATCAACATAGAAACGTCATCAACATAGAAGCATCATCAACATAGAAGCGTCATCAACATAGAAGTATCATCAACATAGAAGCGTTATCAAAATAGAAGCGTCATCAACACAGAAACATCATTAACATAGAAGCGTCATTAACATAGAAGCATCATCAACATAGAAGCATCATTAATATAGAAGCATCATCAACATAGAAGCATCATCAACATCGAAGTATCATTAACATAGAAGCATCGTCAAAATAAAAGAATAGTCAAAGGATTCAAACCTAATTTCATAACATAACGGGTGATGCATAATTTATTGAATAAATTATAATTTGATTTTTCTAGCATATTAAACAATCAGGTGGTTCATATGCATAAAAAATCTATGAAGTCTTTATTATTTAAACAAATTTTTTAAAAATGAGGTTAAATGCAGCAAAACGAGAGTTTTTTTGGAAAACGTCTTTAAAGTTTTTTTGTAAAAATTCATTATATAAAAAAAATAAATAAATAATTTCAAAAATAAAAGCATTGTACGAAATACATTTTTTGGTAACCTAAAGAAACTAGTCATTTATTTTCTGATAAAAAGAGTTCTTGTCCAACAACTGGACTAGAGAAAGAAAGCCAAGCAAGACTTGTCAATAACTTAAAAGGGATTAGTCATAGAAAATTGGGCATTAAATTCAGTGTTAATCAATTGACAATTGTTCAATTAAAAAATATGATTATTCAATGTAAAAAATGTGAAAATATTCACAAATAACCATTAAACATTAAAAATAGCAACAACAAAAAAGGGAGCAAAAAATATATTAATCCGCTCTATAACACGAAATCACTTCTGATCATCAATGAAGAAAGATTATTTCCAAGCATGTTATCACATGCTTGGAAATTCTAGATACTACACAGATATCAAAGAAACATGCACAAGCAAATGTTTCTTTGATATCTGTGTAGCATCTAGAATTTCTATACAAACACATTATAAATAAAATTTAATAGATTGATAGGCATATACACACGAAATATATATAGGGTTGCCATATGGTAATTATCGAAAATGAGGAGATTTTACTATGCATATTAAATGAATGGGGAGTCCCTATTATTTAGCAAGGTCCAGAGTGGACCCTTTTAAGACTCCTTTTAAGAAAATTATAAATACAAAAAAGTAAATAAAAAACATTTTTTTTAAAAAAAAAAAAAAAAAAAAAAAAACGTTATTCGTTTTTTTAGTGCAAATTGCTGGTTTTGTAATTAAAATTGACCTAATTAACCGCAAAACTTTAACATTCAATTTTATTGCTGTCTTACAACTATTGAGTCTTGATGGATTAAGTCTTTTAAAATGCTATATTTTAATATAGAATAAGTTATTCTATATCGAAATATACCATTTTAAATCATATACGAAAGATAAAAACTATATAAATGCAAACCATAAATTAAATCTCCATTATATAACTTGTCTCTACGGTCATCTTGTAACCATTATTTACTTGTATCTAACTAATCACGTGCATCATTTATCAATTTCATTGTCATCGACTAATTATTTGTTGGAACAGAGCAAGAACTATAAACAAGGAAAAAGGAATCATATCAACTATACTTTTTTGTTGAACCAATCTTTTTTAATAAGCCTTTGTTTAATAACAAATACTTATTGAACTCATAAGGTAGAAAATTGGTCATGGCACAATGATTTGTAAACAAAAAAAAAACTTTTTCATTTACAAATAAAATTAAGTTTCAACTTGGTCCCAAATAGGGATACTTTCAAGTTTCATCCAAATGAAAGCTTTTAACTCCTAGTATTGAGACTAATAACAGGTCAATGGTTATGCAAGTTGCGTAATCTTGACTTAATTATAATTGTAAGATGCATTATTTAAATAAGATTAACATAAGGAAATTTGTTTGTCTTTGTGAAAAACATAAATATGTGATTCAGCTGGCCAAATTTTGAATTTTGCTTCACAATCATTTCTCCCTTTGATAAACTAAAAAACATTTTTTTGGACGACATTATTGCTAGTGTAGCAATTCTTTTACTTTTTAAACTTCAAATTGAAATTCAAGGAATAATTTCTGGTGTAGTAGCAACCAAAATACTTTATAACCTTAAAGTAATTTAACGGTTGCGTCTTTTGTTTTTGCAAGTTTGGGAAACTTTCATTTCACAATCTTTTGCGTGCAATTGTGAAATGAAAAGTTTTTTTTAGCATTTTTGATAAATCGGTAGAATGATTAAAAACAGTTTACATTTAATAGTTTTTACATTTTCAGTTCTATATATACTCAAAATTTAAGTATTAAATATGGAATTTTTATAAAAATTAAATAAAAACCTCCAAAAAGAGGAGATTTTATGTTTTTTCTGAAATCCCCCGGAGCATTATTTTTTGCCTTAAAATCCGGAGATATGGGAACCCTAAATATATAGAAATATACATAAAATATACGTAAAGCTATATAAAAACTACATGAAACAGCAGTTACTACATAAAATATCAAGAACTATATAAACAATTTCATATCAAAACTACATGAAAGATTTTCTGGTTTAGACTTTAAGTAAAATAAATTCACAAATCCACCTGTGAAGTGATTTTGAAGAAA